AAATTGCTGATTTTAAATCCTTCCCCAAATGTTTTTACCTGAAGCAGCATTAAAGCTACCTCTGGTCTAATCCCACCAAGTTTGCAGTGAGTTATTTTTGTTTCTTGCAAATGTAATTCATTTTATTAATTTAAAGAATAAATTTTGTTTCCGAGTGTTTTCTTGACGCCGGCTCTGCTGAAATCTGATGCCCACTAAGGATTTTCCTGTGAATTCCATTTTTGCTTGCAGCATTTTTTATTCCTCATCAGCTGAACTCATCAGGAATGGTTTTGTGTTGGAATGTGAAATGCAGGGAGCTCTCAGAACTGCGGGCCAAAGGTTAGAAATCAAACCAGGATTTGGTGTGAGACCTTGGCAAAGGCTCCCAAACTCAGGTGCTAAAGTGAGAATGTGGATTTATAGTTTAAAGCAAAGACACATTAAGGTAGGAAGAGGAAAGTTGAGAGTTTTAGAGTCTAAGATCTAGAAAAACCAAAAGCAGTTCCAGAGGTGAACAAGGAGTTCAGGATGCAGCACTGTGGGTTTGTGTGCCATAACGTGATGGCTAAGATAAGACAAAATATTTAAGGGTTGGGTCAAAACCATAAATATCCTTTTTGGCAGTGCTTTATTGGTCAACAGATCCTTTAAAAGCCTTGTACTGAGGGTCTTGGGACCTTCTGGGCCATGTAATGAAGCTGTGAATCAAATTCACCATTCCTGCCTGTGTAGAAGAAAAATAAACCACAGCATCTAAAAACCTCAGAGTTCCCATCTGTAACTCACTTGGAATTCCTTCACCAATCCCCATAGTTTTTAAGGAAGATCTTAAGCTAATCAGCCCCATTTTTGCTTTATTTCTTCTAATTTATTTCATTTCTGAGCTTTCATTGTCATTTCACTAGGAACAAAATCCTGCTTTCTGGCTGTACTGGAGAACAACATTGCAGCTGCTCTCCTGGTTATTTCCAACACTTTATTCGCGCTCCACGAAACGAGTTTGGTATCACCCCATTTTTGCGATGCAACTGTATTTAAAATGTGCTTTTTAATCCTGCCACCTTGTGTTCACAGCGCCTGCTGTACCACAGCATTCCCATTTTCCAGCATCAGCCACAGCGCTCGTCCACAGGGAAGAGAATAAGGAAAAGCATGAGGAGATATCAATATTTTAATCATGACCTCGGCGTGGGGTTTTTGTTGCTGTTGTTTCTTTAACTGGGAAGAGACACGTCTTGGATGGACAGGGATGAGAATCAGGGAACTCTTGGAATGCTCAAGGGATAATTTTTGGGGAAGAGACCCAGGAGAGCCGGTCCCGCTGGGCATGTGCGGTAGCACAGGGAAGCCCTGGGGGTGACAGAGCCCCAGCCGTGGCCCGGCTCGGTCCCAGAGCTCCAGGGCTTTCCAATTTGGGCTTCGGGATTTCCCATTTCACCCCAGAGAACTCAGGGAATTCCGGCTTGTGCTCCCACGGAGCTCATTTCCAGTCATTAATTCGGGATTTGACCTCACGTGCTTCCTCCCGCGGGTCACCTCCGGCCTAGCGACCGGGGACAGGAGCCCGGGAAGGGCCGGGGCGTGTTTAGGTGGGAAATTAGGGAAAGGCTCTCCCAGCACAGCGTGGGCTGGCCCTGACCAGGCTGTCCGCNCCTCCATTTTTGTGCCCTAAAATGTGATTTTTCCTGCGCAGGGAACGTGATGACACTGAAGTTCCTGACAGACGGCTCGGTGACTGCAGGGGGGTTCCAGATCCGCTACTCCGCCCTGGACACGCCTGCCCCGGCCAAAAACGCCTCAGCCCAGGGCAAAAACACCTTCCAGGCTGGGAAATTTGGGATTATGTGAGCACAACTCCAGGCACGGAAAGGGGCTCTGGACTGAACACTGAAAAAAAAAAAAATCAGATTTTTTTCTGGCTTTTTTTTCATCTCTTTCTGAGATTTTTTCATTTTTCTTTCTGAGTTTTTCTCTTTGGCTTTTCTATGTTTTGTAATAAACTACACTAGGGAATAAATTATAAGATATACTTACATGGAAAATAGAGAATTATTTTTAGAATACAAGTACTGTAAAAATCAGAAGAATTCATTGCTACCAAAGACTTTAATATTTTTAATATAAACTGTTCCTTCTCCTCATTTCTTACACCACTTGAACAAACTTTTTGTGTGTCTGTCCTGATTATTTTNTATGTCAAGTTATGAGCAAAGTGCTGCTAAATTCACTTAAAATCCGAGAAGTTTTGAATAATTAAATATTCATCTTTAGCTCAGGTGTATTTAACTAAAGCTGGCTTCTAATTTTATGGATTCTTATAACGGTAATACAGATGCATTGCATGTATTAAATTTATTGTTTATTATAATTATTTATTATAATTATTATTATTTTATTTTTTATATTTTTATATTATTTATATGAAATACTTTTATATATTTACATATAAATTTTTTATATTTTTAATATTATATATTTTTATATTTCTATGTTATTATATTCTATATAGCTATATTATATCAAAGTAGATATTATATATATGAATATACACTTTATATATAATATAATATAATATGACATAATATGACATAATATGACATGACATAGTATAATATAGGATAGTATAATATAGGATAGTATATATAATATACTATATTATATATATTATGTATTACATATTATATGATATAATGTTTATATAATATTATTTTATGTTATATATAATATATTTACATATATATTTATAAAATATAATGTATTATATTGTTAATTGTAATAAAATTATAATAATTTTATTACAATTAATACTATAATAAAATATTATTATAATGTTAATATTTATTAATATTATAGTGTTTTTAAATTTTCATAAATGATAGTTGTATATTGATTTTTATATTATTAATGTTACTAACATTTCCAGCTTTGTGGCTACTCTGGTAGGAGAGGAGCTGCTGCAGAGTGCTGGTGAAGGCAGTAAATCCCTGGCACCTGCAGCTGAATGGGGTGTTGGCACATTATATTATAGCATAATATAATATAATAGGGTATGTTGTACTATATATAGTATAGTATAGTATATCACAGTATATGATATATATACTGTAATATATAATATATTATGTAATATATATAATATATAATAATAATAATGGAGGGGAGGAGCTGCTGCAGAGTGCTGTTTAAGGCAGTAAATCACTGACACTTGCAGCTTAATGGGTTCTGGGCACATTATATTATAGTATAATATAGTATAATAGAGTATGTTGTACTACATATAGTACAATAATATAGTATAATAGAGTATGTTGTACTATATATAGTATATTATAGTACATTATATATATATATGTATATATATAGTATATTATAGTATATTATATATATATAATATATATATTATATATATACTGTAATATATAATATATAATGTAATATATAATAATAATGGAGGAGAGGAGCTGCTGCAGAGTGCTGTTTAAGGCAGTAAATCCCTGGCACTTGAAGCTGAATGAGTTCTGGGCACATTATAATATAGTATATTACAGTATATTATATATATAATATATTATATATAATGTAGTATATTATATATAATATGATGTAATGGTTTGTAATATTTTATAATATATAATATATAAATATATAAATATATAATATATAATAATAATAATGGAGGGGAGGAGCTGCTGCAGAGTGCTGTTTAAGGCAGTGACTCCCTGGCACCTGCAGCTGCCGGGNAGTTACGTTAGGAAATAATAACTTTATTGTAACGATGAAGCTTTGCAGCTTTATGACTGTAAGGACGAAGTTTTTAGTTGGCATTCGCCGCGTTTTCATTGCATTTTTTTCTGGAAGTTGCATCTTGCCATGTGTTTGTGCCTTTCCCCGCATCTGCCCGGTTTTACCATGTGCAAAGGCACGATCTCTATCTCTCAGTGTCTCCCTCCGGTCCTGCAGTGAATTTATGACTGTAAGGATGAAGTTTTTAGTTGGCATTCGCCGCGTTTTCATTGCATTTTTTTCTGGAAGTTGCATCTTGCCATGTGTTTGTGCCTTTACCCGCATCTGCCCGCATTTACCATGTGCAAAGGCACGATCTCTATCTCTCAGTGTCTCCCTCCGGTCCTGCAGAGAATTTAAAACTGTAGCTACTCACAAAGCAGATTTTACAGGTTTCTAGAAATAACTGACAGCAAAAAAAACCCTCCTGATGTAAATATTAAACATCAGCAGGTTTCTCAGGCTGTCCCTGCATGACTGAGCTCAGCACGGTTTGGGTTTTGCAGTGAGAAGCTGATGATTAACGTTTTATGGGATAATTGCAGCTTTTCTGCAAGAATGTTCCTCACATATGAGCGAAGTCATCCTTGCTGCTGGTCACACCAGGATTTTCCTGCATTCTGGGACTGCTCGTGAGGAAGGTGCTTTTTCACCTCCTGTATTTCTGGTTTTTCTAATTTGCAGCAAGTCATTTAAAGTTTGCGTGCTAAATTTTAATGTTTTTATAGGAGCTGACCAAAAAATGAAAGCCTGAATATTTTCAGGAGTGTTCTTTAGGCAGAAAATGAGGCATTACTCAGTGCAGTATGCAGGATTTTGCTGCTGGGTCAGACCTCGTGCTGGCATTTTTGCTCTTCAGCTCCTTCAGTGTTTTGTTGATTCCCTTCGGAAAATGTGCTGCTGTGTGTCAGGAGATAAAAGTTGAGTCAGTTACAAAGTATTTAACCTGGGAATATTGTTTGTTTTCCCTTCTCAGTCGCTTGAGTGGTGAAGGAGGCAAAGCATTCACGGCAGACTTCAGGAAACACTTCCCTCAGCTCTGCAAGGTGTTCAAGGTATGGATTTTACACTCGGTTCTCTTCCACTTCAGTGAACAAAGATTTATTTTGGTCAGCAAGGTCAGTGGGCATTGCAAGACTCAAATTTCAGTTCATTTATAGAGTCACAGAATCATTAAGGTTGGAAAAAACCTCTGAGTCATGGAGTCCAACCTTTAATAGGAATGCAGAGCAGGAAAGGGTTTTTTGGTAAAATAGATCATTCTTGTGATGGGGAATTGCTGCATTAAAAACCAAAATGCTGGGTCTTGGATGTGGTCAGGCAGCATCCCACAGTCAAATCTAATCTTCCAGCCAGGAGAGGCAGTGTGTTCTGAGTGCCTTAGAAACATTTCAGAATTCAGAATATGCAGAAAATGTCAAGGCTTTTGAAGCAGTAATGTCCAGGTTGTCCTTAGCCATTTTTTCCTTCTGTTTCAGAAGCCTAAAAGCAATTGGAGAGTCAAGTGAGAGAACATAACATACACAGCCAAAGTGAAAAATTTGGGATTTATTTCATTAAAGATGCTGTTATTACAGAGGGCAAAAATGCCTTCATCACCTTGAATTGTTTTACTGATTTGGTGTGTCCAGAATTCAGAGAGGGTTTCCTGCCTGGGTGGGTTTTTCACCAAGTGTTTGCTTTTCCCAGCAATGTTGGTATTCAGACAATAAACTCAGGATTTCTCAGTTACTTTTCTAACCTGACATTCTGTGGATTTGGATTTTTTTTATTGTTTTTTTTTCCAGGCACACATTTCCAGTCCAAACTTGGAGCTCAGTAATGCAGCATTGCAGGCCTTGGGCTTCTGCACTTTTAATTCAAACAACACAGCTGAATTATCTGGTGAGCAAACAAACTGTGACTATAAATATATCATCAGAGCTCTTTCTTTATGTTTTTCCCAGCATTTGTTTTCATTTTGACCAGGATTTGTCTGTAATGTGAGCAGTGTGATCAGTCCATTAATTACATCTTGTGCACAAGTGTGGCGATGATTTTTCATGCTGTTACATTAATTCTGTTTTACAAACTTCTAGTTTGATTAAATGCTTTGGTAGCAATTAGTACAGTAATTAGTTGTGTGGAATTAGTGATCAAAAAAAGATATTCTTGTGGGAAAAGAGTGAAGAGCCTGTTTGTAGGATCTGGGAGTGCACAGTAGAGCTTTTCCAGCTTTTTTCTTGGAGATTTCTTTGTTCCATCAAATCATGGACTGGTTTGAGTTGGAAGAGACCCTTAAAGCTCATCTAGCCCAGCCCCAGCTATTCCAAATTAATCCAAAATCTTATGATCAGCATTCCTAGAAAGTGCTAAATCCCTTTCACAAAAGGTTTTTGCTTTTGAGAACCACAGTTAAACCACAGGTTTTTGGTACCAGGGGAGAGGGCATTTTTCCTGTTTGAAATTGTGTTTTTTTTGGTTCTTCTCCATTTTTTTCCAGTATCTTCTGCTTTCCTAAAATGCCAAATTCCCCCTGATTTCCTGTGAGAACGAGGCATTTCTAATAATGTCTGTGTGCTGCCTTTCTTTGCTCTCATTTTTTCTAGCCAGCTGATAAATAACAATTTTATTTCAGAATGTCAGGCTCCAGAAGTCACAAAAACAATGTGGGGTTGGAAAGGGAGGGAGGACAAGGAGCTCCTGTACCTCAGAGTGTGCTTTTGATTGGGGAGTGAAATTGTCCTTCCATTCCTCTGATTGCACATTTGCCATAAATCTGACTTTTTACCCGTGAATTTTAAAGGAACACCATTTCTCCATCTGTGTTCTTAGTTGGATCTAAGTCCTGTATTAACTTTATTAAGTTTTATGTGATGAGCTACAATTTTACCTCAATTTTGTTACTCCAGTAACAAAAAGCTCTTGTGGGCTCTAAAATAAATTTATGTCAAGTTATGAGCAAAGTGCTGCTAAATTCACTTAAAATCCGAGAAGTTTTGAATAATTAAATATTCATCTTTAGCTCAGGTGTATTTAACTAAAGCTGGCTTCTAATTTTATGGATTCTTATAACGGTAGTACAGATGCACTGCATGTATTAAATTTATTATTATTTTATTTTTTCTATTTTTATATTATTTATATGAAATACTTTTATATATCTACATACAAAATTTTTATATTTTTTATATTATATATTTTTATATTTTTGTTATTATATTCTATATAGCTGTATTATATCAATGTAGATATTATATATATGGATATACACTTTATATACAATATATAATATATAATATATAATATATATAACATAGTATAGTATAATATAGTATAGTATGGTATATTATATTATGTTATATTATATTACATTATATTACATTATATATTACATATTACATGATATAATGTTTATATAATATTATGTTATATTATGTTATATATATTATATATATTTACATATAATATATATTATATAAAATATAATATATTGTTAATTATAATAAAATTATAATAACTTTATTATAATTAATATTATAATAAAATATTATTATAATGTTAATATATATTAATATTATAGTAATATTTTAATAATAATAAATGATAGTTGTATATTGATTTTTATATTATTAATGTTACTAACATTTCCAGCTTTGTGGCTACTTTAGTAGGACAGGAACTGCTGCAGAGTGATGTTTAAGGCAGTAAATCACTGGCACCTGCAGCTGAATGGGGTCTGGGCACATTATATTATAGTGTAATATAGTATAATAGAGTATGTTGTACTATATATAGTATATTATAGTATATCACAGTATATGATATATATACTGTAATATATAATACATAATGTAATATATATAATATATAATATATAATATATAATATATAATATATAATAATAATGGAGGAGAGGAGCTGCTGCAGAGTGCTGTTTAAGGCAGTAAATCCCTGGCACTTGCAGCTTAATGGGTTCTGGGCACATTATATTATAGTATAATAGAGTATAATAGAGTATGTTGTACTATATATAGTATATTATAGTATATCACAGTATATGGTATATATACTGTAATATATAATATATAATATAATATATAATATAAATAATGGAGGAGAGGAGCTGCTGCAGAGTGCTGGTTAAGGCAGTAAATCCCTGGCACTTGAAGCTGAATGAGTTCTGGGCACATTATAATATAGTATATTACAGTTTATTACAGTATATTATATATATAATATAGTATATTATATATAATATAGTATATTATGTATAATATGATGTAATGTTTTTATAATATTGTATAATATATAATAATAATGGAGGGGAGGAGCTGCTGCAGAGTGCTGTTTAAGGCAGTAACTCCCTGGCACTTGCAGCTTAATGGGTTCTGGGCACATTAAAATATAGTATATTACAGTATATTACAGTATATACTATATATAATATAGTATATTATATATAATATAGTATATTGTATATAATGTAGTGTTTTATTTATAATATGATGTAATGTTTTTATAATATTATATAATATATAAATATATAAATATATAATAATAATGGAGGAGAGGAGCTGCTGCAGAGTGCTGTTTAAGGCAGTAACTCCCTGGCACCTGCAGCTGAACGGGTGCGGGCACACTGCAGTGGGCACAGTGCCCTGGCACGGGTGGCAGCGGGCAGTGGGTGAGGGTTGTGCTGTGCTCTGTGCCAGGCCCCGAGGCGCAGGAGCTGCTGGCAGCCGTCAACAGCGTGGCAATGAAATGCTCCGACAAGAACACCCGCACCCGGGCACTCTGGGTCATCTCCAAGCAGGCATTTCCTCCTGGAATTGTTAGGAAGGAGGTGAGTTCTGCACTGTTCTTCCACTGGCCTCGTTTCTCACAGAGAGGAGCCTTCAGAAATTGTTTGAAACATGAGTTTCTTCATTTCTCATTTTGGTGCTGCCCTTTTATAGGGAGAGGAGGCAAATTATTTCTCACTCTCCACTCAGTAGCTTTTGAATCCAAAGGTTATTTCCCATTGAATGTGACACCCAAGTATCAATTCTTGGAAAACCTGAGCCATAAATGAATGCTCTCCTTGAGGGGAAAGCTGCAATGTGACCATTTCTATCAGAAAGCAATGAAATACCACAGGGCAGAAAATTACGAATATTCCAGTTTAAAATGCCACCTGGCATAATCCAAACACAATCCTGGGAAATGAAATGTCCCAGTTCCAGCTCCTCCTGGAATGATTTGTGTCCAGGTGCTCACTGTGCTGTTCTCTTGCTCCCTCAGGTGTCCAATGTTCTCTCCACCCTGGAAACAATCCTGACTAAAGGAGAAGCTCAGTCTGTTGTGGTTGAGTATGAAGCACTTAATGTCATTATACGGTGAGTGCCCTGCAAAATTCCACTCTCAGCATTCATTTTAGGGGGGAAACTTTTTATACAAAACCCAGGTGGCACTAAATGTTCTAAAGAAAAAACTCCCAAGTTTTTATTGTGTTTGGGATTGTTTTTCTCCAGGGTTGCCCTGGTTTTCACTGGGTGGTTGCTGGGTGCTGAAAACACCAGAGGTGTTGGAGTTAATGCTGAGCAGAGTTTGCTCTGTCAAGGGCACAGCTGGCACAGCTGGCACAGCTGGCACAGGGCATTCTCCATGGAATTGTGCCCAGGGTGAGCTGCTGCGCTCTGCACCACTTGTTTTATAATAATTAAATTATATAATTATAATAATTAAAATATTATATATATATTATATTAATTATTATATTATATTATAATATTATAATAATTAAAATATTGCCTTAATAATGCCATCATCATCCTGAGGCAGAAATCAGAAATACTGCTCTCATTTTTAGTGGCTCTTCAGGAATGACTTCCCACCTCTCACCTGTGCTTCCCAAGGGATGTTCTTACTTTTTGTTTCCAGAACCTGCCTGCTTGAGAAATAGAAATTCTCTGCCATTATTTGGGGGTTTATTTAAAAATATCTTATTTGGAAATATCCCCTTGGCAACACATTTTAGTGCAGTGTTTCCCATAGCATTGTTGAAATTCCTATTTAAATCCAAAAGTGACTTTTTAGGACAATCACTGTGAGCATGTTGTTCTGGTCAGCAGGAGTGAAATATTAAAAGTTTACCTTTATTTAGTGCTAATTTAATTTCTGTATTAGTAAATACATTGAGCTTGTATTTTTACTCCTTTTTAAGTTTTCTCTTTAACTTTTGGCATCTGGTTTGAGCTGCAAATCCATTTTAAATAGTTCTTTTAAATAGTTTTTGTTTTCTGGCTTTAATAAAATGACTTGAAAGGCAGAACTTTTCTTTAGTGCAGCAAATTCTCCTTAAACTGTAGAGATGGGGATTTGACTTGAATTAGAGCATTTATAGGTGATACAGAGATTGATACACAGAGAACTTGAGTGCCTGAATGGCTGTTGGAGATCTGTAATCTCAATTTTTTGGGATTAAAAATTGACTTTAAAATTTTGAGATGGTTTCCTATAAATCCTTGTCTAAATTGGAGCATTTATTGATGAAACTCAGAGAACTTGAGTGCCTGCTATTGGAGATCTATTTAATTTAATCCCTATTTTTTGGGATTAAAAATGGATTTAAGAAATTCGGGATGGTTTCCTATAAATCCTGGATTGAAGTAGAGCATTTATTGATGACACACAGATAACTTGAGTGCATGAGCTGCTATTGGAGATCTGTAATCCCTATTTTTTGGGATTAAAAATTGATTTAAAATTTTTGGGATGGTTTCCTGTAAATCCTTATCTGAATTGGAGCATTTATTGATGATACACAGATAATCTGAGTGCCTGCTGTTGGAGATCTGTAATCCCTATTTTTTGGGATTAAAAATTGATTTAAGAAATTTGGGATGGTTTCCTATAAATCCTTGTCTAAATTGGAGCATTTATTGATGACACTCAGAGAACTTGAGTGCCTGCTATTGGAGATCTGTAATCCCTGGTTTTTGGGATTAAAGATTAAAACAATTAGGGATGGTCTCCTATAAGTCCTGGACTGAATTAGTGCATTTAATGATGATACAGAGAACTTGAGTGCCTGCTTTTGGAGATCTGTAGTCCCTATTTTTTGGGATTCAAAACTGATTTAGAAAATTTGGGATGGTTTCCTATAAATCCCTGATTGAATTAGTGCATTTATTGATACACAGAGAACTTCAGTGCCTGCTACTGGAGATCTGTAATCCCTATTTTTTTGGGATTAAAAATGGATTTAAGAAATTCGGGATGGTTTCCTATAAATCCTGGATTGAATTAGAGCATTTATTAATGATACACAGAGAACTTGAGTGCCTGAGCTGCTGTTGGAGATCTGTAATCCCTATTTTTTTAATCCCTATTTTTTGGGATTAAAAATGGATTTAAGAAATTCGGGATGGTTTCCTATAAATCCTGTACTGAATTAGAGCATTTATTGATGATACAGAGATAACTTGAGTGCCTGCTATTGGAGAGCTCTAATCCATATTTTTTGGAATTAAAATTGATTTAAGAAAATTTGGGATGGTTTCCTATAAAGCCTTTATTGAATACGAGCTCTTATTGATGATACACAGATAACCTGAGTTCCTGAGCTGCTGTTGGAGATGTGTAATCTATTTTTTTTGGGATTAAAAATTGATTTAAAACATTTGGGATGGTTTCCTATAAATCCCTGATTGAATTAGAGCATTTATTGATGATACACAGAGAACTTGAGTGCCTGGTGTTGGAGATCGGTAATCCCTATTTTTTGGGATTAAAAATGGATTAAAAACATTTGGGATGGTTTCCTATAAATCCTGTACTGAATTAGAGCATTTATTGATGATACAGAGATAACTTGGGTGCCTGCTGTTGGAGATGTGTAATCTCTATTTTTTTGGGGATTAAAAATTGATTTAAAACATTTGGGATGGTTTCCTATAAATCCTGGATTGAATTAGAGCATTTATAGATGATACACAGATAACTTGAGTGCCTGCTATTAGAGATCTGTTATCCCTATTTTTTGGAATTAAAAATTGATTTAAGAAATTAGGGACGGTTTCCTATAAAACCTTTATTGAATAAGGGCTCTTATTGATGATACAAAGATAACTTGAGTGCCTGAGCTGCTGGAGATCTGTAATCTCTATTTTTTGGGATTCAAAACTGATTTAGAAAATTTGGGATAGTTTCCTATAAATCCTAATCTGAATTGGAGCATTTATTGATGACACTCAGAGAACTTGAGTGCCTGCTATTGGAGATCTATAATCCCTATTTTTTGGGATTCAAAACTGATTTAGAAAATTTGAGATGGTTTCCTGTAAATCCCTGATTGAAGCAGAGCATTTATTGATGATACACAGATAACTTGAGTGCCTACTGTTGGAGATGTGTAATCTCTATTTTTTTTGGGATTAAAAATTGATTTAAGAAATTTGAGATGGTTTCCTGTAAATCCCTGATTGAAGCAGAGCATTTATTGATGACACACAGATAACATGAGTGCCTGCTGTTGGAGATCTGTAATCTCAATTTTTTGGGATTAAAAATGGATTTAAGAAATTCAGGATGGTTTCCTATAAATCCTGTACTGAACTAGAGCACTTACTGATGACACACAGATAACCCGAGTTCCTGAGCTGCTGTTTAAGATCCGTAATCTCAATTTCTTTGGTTTTTTTTTGCTTCCAGCTTGATGGAGCAAGCTCCAGGCCCGATGGGGGAAGAGGCAGTGAGGTGGGCCAGGCTGATCCTGCCCCTGGTGGTTCACTCCTCCCACAAGGTGCAGCTCCGAGGCGCCACTGCCCTGGAGATGGGCA